CTTGGTGTCGTCGGCAAACTTACTGAGGGTGAACTCAATTCCACTGGGGTTTATTATACAATATGTAGTATTTCAAAAGCAGCTTTTTATAAAAGAAGTTATTATAGTAACTTATTATCATTAATAATTATTCCAATTTAATTAACCTGAAATTCCTTTGTTATCCTCAAATAACTAAGTCCTTAGTTAGTATCTTTCCAAATAACATGCACAGATGCTTAGATTACGCGAGTATGAAAATTTAATGTGAAGGATTTGCTCTTATAGTATTATCAGTAGGATTTCTATTTCTTTTTCTGCCCTTTACTGCTATTTTTATAAAGGTGAAAATTGAAGAAAATCTTAGAACTGCAAAGCAGTTATTTTACTTCCTGAAGTACTGAAGTAATTCAGTTTGGCAGACAAGGATCACAGACTAACAAGCTAAGATTTAATCAGTCCAGAGACCAGGGTGAAACTTTGATTCCTGTGAAGGAAATAAAACCAATTAAAAAAAAAATAAACAATCCCTCAAGAATTTCAAGAAAGCAGGATTTCAAGATTATGGCCCCTCCATCTCTGCTGCCTCCTTCTGGCTTCTTGATTTGACTCCTATTTTTCTTTGCACTCTTTTTCTCTCTAATATGCTTCCTCTCCTGCGGGTTTTCCAAAATTAAACCTTTATTTTGTGATTTCTGAAATGCACACATCTAGCAGCATCAATACATTCAAAATTGTACTGTTCAAACATGTGCCCTTTTAAAATGCTAATTTATGCTCCAACAGTAGGATAAGGAAATAAAGATTATAGCATTACACTATTTTCTGAAATTTTGCTAAACAGCATAGACCACTGTACCTGCCTTAATGTTCCTCTGGGAAGATAGTATTTAATAAAAAAAGGAACTTAAGCAACCTCAAGTATGTAACAAATATAACTAACGCAGACGTGTTCTGTCATCAGAATAGTGACAGGCAAGCGACTTACTGAAAAGAACCCATTTTCAGATAAACCAGTACATTCCCAACCTCCCCTTTCCTGTCAAGGAAGGATACAGGACTTAAGAGCCTCAAAGAGCACACAGGAATGTTCAAATTCCAATGACAGAGAAACGAGCTTAAGAGCCATGGAACTAAGAGCATACCCTATATTTAATATATCCATTAAATACTGTAACCACTATATCGTGGCAACTTAGAGCATCTTATTTCATCCAGATAAACCACTTACTTCTCTTAACAACTTGTCATTCAACACCACACCATAACTTTTTGCAGGTTTATACTGATTTCTAGATCCTGCTTTACAATTCTTCAAATAATTCTTCACCGAGCTTTTGAATCTAAAGTGGGAAAGACTTAGGAAAATCCATACAATCATAGAATGGTCAGGGTTGGAAAGGTCCTTAAGATCACCTAGTTCCAACCCCCCTGCCATGGGCAAGGACACCTCACACTAGACCATGTCGCCCAAGGCTCTGTCCAACCTGGCCCTGAACACTGCCAGGGATGGAGCATCTACCACTTCTTTGGGCAGCCTGTTCCAATGCTTCACCACCCTCACAATAAAGAACTTCTTCCTTATATCTAATCTAAACTTCCCCTGTTTAAGTTTAAAGCCATTACCCCTTGTCCTACCACTACAGTCCCTAATGAAGAGTCCCTCCCCAGCATCCTTGTAGGCCCCCTTCAGATATTGGAAGGCTGCTATAAGGTCTCCATGCAGCCTTCTCTTTTCCAGGCTGAACATCCCCAGCTTTCTCAGCCTGTCTTCATATGGTGTCTTCATAGATGTTTTCGTAAATGCCAGAAATGCCGCCAGCCCCTTCTCATCTGATTGGATGTTGTGACAAAAATGTTTTTCTGTGACTAAGACACTAAGATCTGCAAATCCATGTGCATCTTATTCAGAATCTAAACTTAGAGATAATGAATAACCTGACTATATTGTATTTGACTGTTACATGAAAAGAAATCCATACAAGGATATGTATTTTAGGAAAGCTCAGGTACATTTCTGATAGACCTGTCCACTTAATTCTCATCAAGAAGATTTCTTAAAGAGTGGAGGAGAACAGGCTTATACACGAATACAGAGACAAATATAAAAAGGAGGTCAAGTTAAATAAATGCAGATGATGAAGCCATTTAAGTGAAATTCTAAGAGGTAACAGAAAAGCTAATATAGCTGGTTCTTTGACAAAGTTTAAAAAAATAAATGAGAGACAGCTAGTTTCAGACAGATACAAAAAGAAAAAAAAAAGCAAAACAAACCATGGCTGAAAAGAAATCTGATATAAAAAAACCAAACCCAAACAAACAAAAAACAAACAACAAACAAAACCAACCAACCACACAAACAAAAACAAACCAAAAGCAAAAAAACAACCAAAACAAAATAGAAAAAAACAACTACATGATGGACATGGGACCAATTTTCAAAGGGAGAGGAGGTAACTAAGAAAGCAGAACAGACAGAATAAAACCTACAATTACTCCTTTTCAGCCAAAGAAACTGTACATTCTTTTCCAGTACTAAGGATCTAGTAGTCTTAACAATCCATGTAATAGAAACACCCCAAGAAGAGGACAGGAATGATACCACACAGGTTATATAATGAAACACTGCAGCATGAAATCTGGATACAGATAGCTTCAGGGAATTGCACAAACATTGTGCTAGCCTTCAATTCTTGGCGACAGATGTAACAAAGCAGTCATGCATTCCCAGCCACACAATGTACAAGTGTTTGCACAACTGCAGAACTCTTGCCATTCAGAAGACATCTGTGTGCATACTGTCCATCTCCTTGCACAGAAGCAGAATTAAAGTTTAACAAGTATTTGTCTAAACTATTTTTAAAACCTCCGAGCAAGCTGTGTAAGTAACACACAACATGAACTCTGAATATTCACAACATCAAAGATATTGTCTTAAAACCTCCAGTGATGATTTCATGATTTCCAAATGTATCCTATTAGAATTTTTTTTATTAATTTATAACAAATCTTCATTGCCAAGTAAGCCAACTATTCCTTTTTCTGCACAGGGCAATAGAAAACCATCAACCTGCTTTCCTTATAACTGCTTTTAACATACTAAGACACTTGGCATGACCTCTGTCTTTTCAGCATCAACCAGTTCCAATTATTTCAATGTATACTAGCATACCACATTTCAAAGTCATGATAGGTAGCTGTGCTCCAGAATCCCTCAAATATATCTATTTTCCTTAGACTGCAAATGCCCCTGCTAGAGGTACTCCACCCAAGGACTCACCATCTTCAGCTGACAATCATCATCTTCTGTCTTGTATAAATTTAACTCAGAGATCTTTCTCACAATCATAGTTTTAAGCTCTCTTGTAAAAAAGCACTCCTATCACTGCCACACCACAGTGCTGAAGAATACAGTTCAGATATTCCCCATCTTTTACTCATGCTCTTGATTTCTTTTTTTACCAAGCACTGGAAATAGCAATGTATGAATTTCATTAATTTTTGATCTATTTATTCTGGTACTTTATTTCAATATGACTTACATCCTGAAAGCTTCAGTCTGGCAAATCAGATATTCACAGTTTGATGGAAGAATTATTTTTTATCTTTTTTTTTTTTTTAAAAATGAGAACTGTTTTTCCTTCTTTTTTCAAACAGAAAATACAAAATACTTTGACTATGAAACTAAATGTTGTGTTAATTTTTAGTTAGTCTTTTACTTCAGTTATCTTTAATATCAAAAATATTATTTAAAATTAAAATATTTCAATACTTCATCAAACATTTGCAAACTTTGAAACTTCATTTTAGCAAATTTACTGTTCGTCAAAAAGTTTTACCCACGTTTTTCTAGGTGGCGTCACCTACGAAAGTGACAACTATAACATGTATTCCATTATCCCACTGGTTAATGATGAGCAACATAATTGCTCTGAACAAGAGAAGAGAATGGTTCTGTAGGATACAATAAAATATGCTTGCTTCCAATCCAAGAACAATACTACCTGCTTCCTTAAAGACATATTTAAAACAACTGGGCACTCACTTTACGGTGATTTTATTGCTGTCTTATGAAAGTTGCCTTGGGAAGCTTGGAATGGTATTACTAAAGTTAAGATACAGAAAAATCCCCTTTATAACTACATGGCCTTTCCTCATCAGAGAAGGGAATCAACATTTTTTTAATTTTTTTTAGACATTTATAAAACAGACTGTTCTATATTTTAGAGTTAATGTAGAATTTCTATCACTTCTGAAAATCTGTATCTGCTAAGGAAATTCACAAATAATTTCTAATAAGTACATCTTAAGGATACAGTAAACATGAGCAAATACAAAGAATTATTTATTTACTATAAACCATTCATCAGGTTCTTTTGCATTGTCTATGCAAATTAGAACCTTAAAATGGTTTCTCTGTATGAATTAAACTGCTTTGCCTAGATAGTTCTTGAAAGGATTCTCAAGTCTGCTCACATTCCAAATTGATGTTCAATATGGAAACCAACTATCCTAAACGCTGTCTATTTCACACACCACCAAGCTTTGTAAACACAGGGATCTGAATCATGAAAATAGTGTACAAAAAATTTGTAGCTTAACCATACTGTCTTGCTTCAGTTACTAGAGAGATGATATAAATATATCTCATGAGTCACTCACCTAAGGCGAGCCAAAAGGTTAATCTTGAAGTCTGCATACAAATTAGAACACTAAACAGAGCTTTGCAGATTGACAGCTGGACAAAGTCAGACAAGCAAATCCAAACCAACTTACTTAGCTACAAACGTAGCAAACAATAACAAAAATCCTTAAATACTTAGGAGATTATAATCTGGGGGATGGAGGAAGGATAAAAAAATGGATACAACATCAACCCAGATGCTTGTTTGACATCTGCACTGCTTGCATGCTTCATATGTACCTTGTCTGAATGCAGCTTTCCTAGGGATTTCTGCAAGATAGCACTTTGGCAAAGGGAGCGATGAAAACATTGGCCAAGGATATGAATTACTACCCTAGAAACAAGACCAGAAAGAAATGAATTTAGGAGAAGAATTAATAACATTTGCTTGATTAACACACAGGTGAAGTTCCCAGAATTATTGTCTATGCACCAAAATTATGCTTGATTCTGTAATTTGCAATTAGATTTTCTGTAAATAACAGAGAAAAAAAAAAGTTAAAAGATATAAAATCTAAAAAGCATTTGAGAGATTTTTTTTAGGTACCACTAAATAAACAAACACACACATAAAAAATCCCACAAAACTGTATTTCCAATTTTATATATTGATCTGTCTTTGCTGTGCTGGCAGCACAGTAATTTGCATTTCATCTTTATGAGACTGACAGCCAGTGAGAAGCAGAACATTTAAAGGAGCTGCTTAACAAAAACTCTATTGTTAGAACATTGATGAAAAGCTCCAGGTATCAGATGCTGCAGATGAAAACCCAAACATGGAAAAAGTATCAAATAAAAGGAAGATAGAACAAACAGAAATACAAAAATAAGTAAAAGATGAGTTGCATTCTTTTTTATAGAAGGAAAAGTAACATTGAAATGGAGCAATATAAACATTTCATCTGAACACAGTATGTCCTTCACATATACACGTTCCACCAGATAGTGGAAAGAAAGTATTTTTTTCAGTGCATCACTTCTTAAAAATTTTATCACTTTCTAAAGCTAAAGATGGACTAGTATTTCTTAAATAATGTTCCTCATTATCAGCAAAAGTGTTCAATTAATGAAGGCAGGAGATATGGAAAGGGAAATTCTTAAACTTTGGATTCTAACCTTATCTAGTACTCTCAAAGGCAAGATCCTTTCCTGTGGTCCTCCAATCAGATTTATCCTTACAAGAACATGGTTTCTCTCCACTGATAGACCATCGATTATAAAATCTCTGGGGAAAAAAAACATACAAACTCCCAAAACCTCAAAAAACCAAAACAACTTTGATTTCCCAACAGTTTAATTTGGAAAACTTCAATAAGCAAGAATACCTTGAGATACATACTGGAGTTAAAACTCAACCTGGAAAACACAAACACATAAAGAAGCAAACAAAAACCTGAAGCGTTTTGAGATGTATGTAAGCATTATTGTAACTTTGTACTTACTGCCGATTGGAAACATCTGAGCAATTACTGTATAGAAAAGAGCAGAAAACTTTACAAGCTTTATTATGCCCAGATGCTCACCCAGTATTAGGGCACAGTTAATGGCATCAAAATTTGCTCCTTATTTGGCCTACCAACAAACGTCTGCTGTCACAAATAAGAAGAGTTATTGATAACTTAACACACAGCCAACTTGTTACCTGAAGTCACTCTGTGGCCCAAAGTACGTAAGTTTTTAAATGAAATAAAAATCAGCTTTTCTACAACAAGTTTCTTACAATTTTTTACATAGTAAGGAAATAATAGGCTTCATCCTCAAATGGTAAATAACAATCATCTCTATCTGCTGAGCTCTCACCCATACTGTTTGATTTAAACTCTGTACTGGTCCCATGTAGCAAACAGTAAGAGGAAGATTCTTAAACTCAGCATGTTGAGAGAAAGGACAACATGACTGTGACTAAATAATTTCCACTTCTGCCCCAAAAATAGTTTCCCTTTTGAAAGGATGCATTGTGCAATTTTATTTAGAAGTCAGGAATGGAAAGTCACAGAAGTTGGAGAGTTGACTAAGTTATAAATAAATAAAAAAACCGAAAGAAACAAAAAAAAAAAAGGTACTGATGCCTTTAATTCATAAACATTCAAACAAGGCCCTAATTTTATATTATATACACAACATAAAGGGATAATATAAATAGGCATATTTCATCCATAAATTTTGCACTTTTTTATTTAAGAAATAAGACAAATACAAACAAATATGAGAAAAATATTTGCCTTTTTATTCCTTACACTTTTAAGGTGGATGTAGGAGAGAAAACAAGCCTGTTGTAAATTGTCATAATTTAAGGTTGATAACCAACTTGCACGTAAGTAAACTTACATATTAGAAGACAGCTTGAGTGAGAGCACTTGTATGTTTAAAGCCACTGAAGTATTCATGTATTTGTTCTCAGGAGAAAAGGTTTATAGTTAAAATAACATTTACATCAGTAACTTCTTACCCTGGTCCTTCTGAAGTTTCTATGACATTTTCCTCCTGAGCTGTTAGTAAAACTTGTGACACTTTATACTGACTCTCCAAGAGTAAAAGGGTATTGAGCTCACAGCACAGCACATTTAACAACCTGCAGAAGGACACATGAAATGATAGCACATAAGTCAGGAATCCAGTAATGCAGAGTAAGACAGAGGCAAACACGTTTATGAGATCTCAGAATGGAAAAAGAACCAAACAAAAAACTTGACGCATCTGAAACATTGAAAATACCCAGACAGAACTGGGTCAGAAAAATCATTTTTAACCACTCAAGAGGCACAGCCTTGAGCAAACAGCAAGAGTTTCCCAACAGATTTTTTTGTACACACTGAACAACCAGGGAAAATATTCACTGGTCAGCCCAGACTGCTTTTGAGTTTAAATCACAGAATAACGCAGACTTAATAACACATTCCATGTGAAATATGTGGAAATTATACAATAATAGGCTGATAAGGCAACTCAGAATCAGTTTTTCTAAGTAAGGGGGGAAGAAGGAGATAGAAATACATCTTTCCTTTAGAAAACAGGCCTTTAAGCACTTGTGTATAATCACATTTAACACAGTTCAAAAGCAATAAAGGATTTAAAAATAAATAAAACCCAAATCAACCAAATCTACTTGTTTGGGTTTGGTTTTGTTTTTTTCGTTGGGTTTTTTTTGAGAGAGAAACACAAAACAATGGTAAATGAAATTAATAATCACAAGAGCACATGAAAGCACATTACATACAATTTTCTTTTATAACTTCAGGGTATTTAAAGTACTCCAATATAGTTCATGTAAACCTAACGTAGGGCAATTCAAATCTTTTTTTTCTTTTTTTTTTTTTTTTTTTTTTAAACTAACCTGTACACTCTAACTCAGCAACAGAAAAAATTAATTGAAGGCTTCCAATTCCTGGAAAATAGTATGACTAAACATTCTTGTTGCTATTTTTATTTCCTGTTTTATCATAGTCATAAAACACCACATAAATTAAGTCTGATCAGTATTACATTTTGCGTTCACATAAGACTCGATATGAACTAGAGAATACATAGTTTGAAACTTGAAATCTGTTAGTCAATGCTTATTTTCTTCCATGTAATTCCCAATATGCTTCTACTGACAACAGCAAAAAAGTCATTCTCTGGAAAATTTAACACCTGTGAATTCACACAATTGTGGCCAAGGATTCAATAGTCAAGATGATAATACATGGGGGTTTGGTGGGTTTTTGTTTTGTTTTGCTTTTTTCTTGCTCTTCTTAAGTATAACTTGATTTGTTCAGTTTCAGCCATCTTCAGGCTTTATTTATTTTATGTTAACTGTTTCCTGACATCATTTTTCTTCAGTACTTTTCCAAATCCCAGAAAAAGAAATTACAATTCCACTGTATTTTTTTATTGTTAAACAGAAGAAAAATCTACAAAAACTGTACTGAAATCATTATGAAGATGGACCATTTCTTCTGTTATGTATGACGACTTTAAATGGCAAAAAGCTTGCTTCCAGCAGTTAAAAACCCCTTGGGAAAAGACTGATGGCTGAGGTTGAGAATGCTTATAACATCTTGCCTGATACACAAAGCAGAGATCGGGCGGGAAAAAAAACAAACCCCAAGCAAATAAAATTCATTATAAGGGATAGTGGTAGGATAAATTACAAAATACACAAGATCTAATAAGAGCAGCCTCTGCTGGAGTATTCAAATGAAATTTTCATCTACATGGAACAATCTGTTTTAAAATGCCATCACTAAACTGCAGATAATTTGGTTGATGGCAATATTCTATTGCTTTACCTTCCAAAGTCATAAATGTATAGACTAAAGTTTGAAACTAAAAAAAAAATTTAAAAAATTAAAAAAAAAATACATTTTATAGCAACTGGATCAGACCATCCAGCTCAATATCCCATCTATAAGGAGTGCAGGCTTATAAAAAAGCATAAAATTTTGACAGATACAATACAATAAAACTCAAATCATATGTTTTTTGAGGTTTATTTTAAATTTTGGTGGGTTTTTTTTAAAGCAGAAGATAGAATTCCCAACCTAAATGTTTCTGAAAACTGGAAGATATGTTTGGATGCAAGGTCTTGTACCTGGAAAGGATGCATGTGTTTCTGCCTGATCAGTCCCCATGCAACAGGACAGGCTGGGGACTGACCAGGTAGAAAGCAGCTTTAAAGACAAGAATCCTGGTGCACAATAGGTTGAACATGAGACAGCAACGTGCCCTTAAAGGCCAACAGCATCCTGGACTGTGTAAGGAAGACTGCTGCCAGAACATTATGTGACAGAGGTGACCCTTCCCCCTCTATTAGTACTGGTAAATTCATTCCTGGAGTGCTGGGTCCAGTTCTGACCTCCCCAGTAAGCACATGACACGGAGCGGGTCCAGCAAAAGGCCACGAAAATGATTAGGGGCTTGGGGTGTCTGACTGGCTGGCAAAGCTCAGCCTGGAGAAGAGAAGGCTCAGGAGCGAGCTTGTCAATGTGTATAAATACCTCACAGGAGGGTTTGAAGATGGAGCCAGACTCTTCTCACTGATACCCAGTGAAAGAACAAGAGCAATAGGCAAAAACTGAAACACAGGAAATTCCACTGTAATATACTGTGAAGGTGGTGTAATAGTGGAACAACTTGCCCAGAGATGCTGCAGGACCACCAACCTTAGCGATATTCTAAACTGGAAACAGCCCTGAATAATGCTTTCTAGTCAAACCCACTTTGCATAGTCCAACTGCTCTGCTCAATCTTCAATCTCGCTATCAATCCTGAATCTATAATTCCATGAAAACTACTAACAAGATATATCATATTGCCAGGAACAAACTTTGATACAGAAAAAAATAATTCTATTTTAAAATTTATTTAAAAGAAATTTTAAAGAAATCCAGAGAAGTCAAAATGCATATAATTGTGAAAATATGGTAATAATAAGCAATTTTATTTCTGAATTCTCTATTTCCTGTCCTATGTCATCCCTGCCTTTCTTGGATGGTCCTCCCTGGATTCTCCTCCTTGAACTATAACTTCACAACTAATACTTCACTGTAGAACTCTCTAGCCTGAAAGAAGGTATTCTCACTAGTACTTGTGCACTTATGTAAACTGACTATCTCCTTAGTTTCAGTAGGTGGAATCATAGTGAATTCTTTAATCATGACAGAACAGAAGGTCCTCTATGGGATATAAAACAGCTAGTAAATAGTTCCAGCTGCTAATAAAAATTCAAATGTTAATTTTTATGTTGCCTCTATAAATTTTTTCAGCTGAACATAGTATAATTAAACCACCTATGAATTTCTGAATTGCTAAAAACACACATTACAAGGATAGCTTATTATCATATTTCTCAATATTTTTTTCTGAGTTCCTTTGAAGAACACAAAATAATATGATGTTCCCTCCATTCCCATTTTGTCCTGTCTCCCCCCTTGACCAATTTCAAATCACACCTCTCTCAAACACTATCTTTACCATGATAAACCCAATTCTAGTTTTTAACAGTTCCCACTATACTCCCACAGTCTCTTCTTCCTTACTTTCGTAACGATCTGATGCTTTGTCCTTACTTGAGGGATGCTTGCAAATGCTCAGCTGGCAGAGAAAGATACAAGATACTGTTCTTGAACACAACACTAGCCTGTGGTGGGTTGACACCAGACAGCAACTAAGCATCCACCCAGCTGCTGTAATCTCAGTAATAATATGAATTCACGCAGTGTCATAGCACGCCAAACCTGAAATGCTTGCACCTATGCTGTCTATAAGGATGTAACTCCAAAATGGAGGACTAAACTGGGCTTTAGTATAAGGTTTTCTATTGTCTTGGAATTACTGCCTGCTATAGATATAGGCACAGCTGCCTCAGGCCAGTGTAAAAAAATACAGCCTAACATTTGTAGACACTTATGGGACAGGGTAAGGTCTTTCCTTCCCAGGAATCAATATTAAAAACATAAATGGGGGGAGAAGAAAAAAAAAAAGGACTGGAACCTCTTTGCGGTAGCAGGACCTCCTTTTTGCTAAATGAACATATATACCAACATGTATACCAACAGAGAAACCCAAAGCAAAATTTTCATTAAATAATTCCAGTGTCGTCATCATGGGCGATGGCCTCAGAACATTTAACATCACAGTCTACATTATCAATTTGATTTTTTACTATGCTTTGAGTAACAGTCAGGGGAAGAGGACAGGGGAGAAAGCAAGCCGAAAGTTCCCTAGTAAATGTTAGAACACAAAGGGCACATGGAAGCTTCAGCCATGCAAAGCTTACCATGCTGCCTTTGCAGACTGCATTAATAATGAGTAGAGAGAACATGCCTCTGCATGTGGTCTTGCTAAAGAATCAAGGCTTTTAATTGTTCCACTGAAAGCAATGCTCCTACTGCTCTTAAAAAACATGAGATCTTGTGGGTACAGAGTATCCTGAGTTACACCTCTGATGCCTGGGGCGCCGGAAGCTACTACCTCAGGGCAATCATGTCTCTCCCAGTAAGAAAACTCAGGGACTTATGTACTCCTTACAATGTTTTCCACATTAAAAGATTTTCAAAAGAGTACCCACAGCTACCCAATGTACTTACAAACCACATGTAATGTGATTGCTAATGATAAAAGAGTTTCCCCAGCTAAACATAAATGCTTTCCATGAGCATCACTTGCCAGCCTAGAGGACTCAGAAGTGAAGCAGATTTAAACTGCACAAGTGAAGCATTTTAATATCCCTCAGTGAAGAAAAAATAAAAAACATCATCGAGTCACACAATCCTATGTCAGAATCTATTGTTCCTACTTTATTAATTATAAATTGGTTTAAATTAATAAATCTAACAAAATTCTATTAACATCTAAACAAAAAAACCAAAACTCTATATGGAAGCATTTAGCCAACTTAATCCTGTGGCTAATCCCCATCACTACTAATGTAGACTCTGACCATTTGTCACCTTTGGATCATTAAACAAGGTTCAAGGTTTTACAGGACGCATGCACTATCCAATGATCACTACTACAGAAATCTTTTCCCTAACACACATCCAGCATGCACACTTGGAAGAGGCTGGTTTCCAAAGAACTGTATATCAC